CAATAACCTCGCAGTAACATTGCTGTATAAATTTGATCTCAGTAGCCTCTCTATAAAAAGAATGCGTACTTTGAGAAAATGCGACAGAACATTCCCGCCAACCTCATGCATACATACATACATACACAGACAAACATACATACATACCACAAACATACGTACACACAGACACACACCACACGCAAGCATCCACATAGACACACACCCACATACACACAATGCACAAATAAACGGCCCACACCACCCACACCAGGCAGATCCATGCACACAGACACAAGACCACACAGACACCACGCGCATACATACACAATACACACTTATGAACACGCACACGTACAGAAACACTTAGCGAATTCTATCAGGGTGTCCCAGAAGTTCGAGATATCAAACTTTTTCCGATACAAATTTATTTCATCAACAAGCATATTAATCAGCAATATGTGCACTATGTTCGTCACCAACTTTTTGCCAACGATTGTGCGGAGTGTGGATGCCTCGTTTCCAAAAGCATTCGTGTTTTGAGCAGAAAAAAGAGTTTATGTCGTGTTCGAGGTCTTTTCATCTAAAAATCGTGACTCTTTCCAACAATATGGGCGTTGCGGAACGGAAAGAGAAGGAACTCAAGAAAGGTTAATTCAGCGCTGCACTGTCGAGCTGCGGAGCTAAATGTTGGAGTTTTTCGACCAACCCTTGCAGTGGAGCTACAGGAGAGCTCAGTAGTCAGCGTAGCTTTAAGAGTTAGAAGTTCCCAGTGCATATGCAGAGACCTTCTTTCCGAACTGATCGGATTTGACGACCGATGGATTCAACCACTGAAACTTCCACGTGTGGTTTACGTGGAGACATTACTTCGGTAAAAACTCCGGTAACAATGTTGCTCAAAGTTGCGGTTCAGTACTTCATGCGGTTGTTTATTCGCTGATCTCAGCTCATGGGTAATTTGATTCTTTGGAAAATCTATAATACTTTTTCTGTGGGAGTAAGAGCGCTATCTAATGTGTCCCTGGAGCAGTCAAGGACCTCAGCAAGACAGCGAATTGACTCACACGGATGGGCTTCAATCATGGTAACCAGTCTAAATACAACAAAGAAGGCCTCCCTGAACGAGGTTCGTCTTTCCGGTCCAAGGATCCTTGTTCTTTACGAACCAGCAACGGGTTGGTGAGCTGGTATAGTTTGATAGAGCAATGAGCTCGATTTCAATTGGTATCAGAAAGACAGTAGATGAAGGAATGAGTTCACGCTACACACTGAGCCCTTACCTGTATTACTTAAACTACTCAGTTAGCAGTTGAGCAGTATGGACTGGCGGATTTAGCGGAGGTAGCCTCTTACACATTCTTGTCAACTGATACTTACTATTACATCACCTGTCATCAACGTCCTTATCCTTCAGCCTTCATTATTTGGCAGTGTGGAAGCTGCACCTTCTGAAAAAGCGACGTCCCTTGTCAGTTTCTATCACTTGTTATCCCTTTCCGCCACCTATCAACGGTGTTCCCGTTCCAGCCTTCGTAGCCCCATCTTTGCTGCTATCTGCGTTATGAATCTGGCTACTTTTACTAGGGACGGGCCGTCAGGTCGGAGATGTAAATTGTAATGGTACCCATACCACCACATGTGCTTCCTAGCAATGATCTCGTTGTCAAATATGTATACGAAATTTGCAAAATGACTCTCCGAACGGAGTTATGAAGCTTTCTCTCTACGTTCGTCGCAATAGGTCTCGGAACTCCGCTCCTCTTACTTTGAGTTTCATGCAGAAACACGGCAGAAAGTGATTTTAAGGGCACCACTACATCAGTGCTTACCTAAACTTGCCTGAAAAAGAATCCTCATGCAGTCAATACTGTGACTGAGCGCCCTGTTAACGAGAAGAAGTCTTGGGCGTACAGGTGCCCTTGGCGCATCCTAAAGCGTTCGTTTCAAGCGAGTATCATATTCACCACCAAGGGATCAATCTACGCGTGCTACGGATACAAGTTTCTGGGCAACTCTGAAATTCTGACCTGACCTCACCACTCAAGGGGTGCAGTTCGATACCTGTTATTCAGCGCACGCAATCGTTGTAGACATCACTGCGGAGGGAGTCCTATATGGCCGTAAAGGGGGAGAGCCATTGGCGCAGAGCTCATTCAGGAGTGGAGCAAGCAGCAATATTCAGATGTCGTGCGTCACCGAATGATAAAACAATCATTCATGGCTACTGCTATGAAGAACACCTGAACAGACAGTTGAAGGCAGGATAAGCTGCAAGCTCAGAAAAGTAGAACGCTAGGGTACAAGTGCGGTGGTCACCCACAGCGACGTCATAAGTTACAAACAAACAAAATACCCTATACGTTTCGACCTTTTCTAAACTGTGGGAGCGCATCTGTTTGCATGGAGGAGCCAGTTCAATTACACCTCTCCAAGACCTCTGCGTGGGACTCCGATACATGGTGTAGTACAAAGAAGATGGTAATTAACGCAAAATGAACTGTTTTCTTATAGTATAGACAAAAAGGTGGGTTTTATGGATATATTCGAGTCTGCAAACGAACTTAAAATTGTATTGCGCTGGAGGAGTGCGCTGTTCGTGTAGCCTCAAACTGTCCTCAACGATGACACAACGAGGACTTTTTTCACAAGTGGGCACGAAAAATGTGCTCTTGTGAGTCCTGCACTTGCTTTACTTTCACACGAAATCGTATACGGGAAAGTCGTTGGTGTTTCAAGCATGAAACTTGTAAGAGACACTATTTCAACAAGGATGTCACAGCGGTTATATTTCCTTATAAAGAAAGTGTTTGAAACGACTGAAGTACAGTAAACTAGCACCGAACCTAGGACTTCGCAACACTGCTTTTCAGCTGAAGAAGTTCCACTCTCACCAACGTTGAGAATGTTCGAAAAAGTGCACTTCTGGAATTACTGGCCCTTTTCGCAAAATATCTCGGAACGGCGTGCTTCAGTGCCATGGTAGAAAGCAATTTGAACGCTCTTGCGCAATTTCTGAATGCACTCAAACTTCCAAAATTCGAGTATCCGGTTAGATAACAACTATTTCTTTTTGGCTGGGCGATTTATTTAGCAGAAATTTTACACGACGTGATCGTGTGCATGGTGTTCACACCTGTTCAGATACAGGTGCAATCTCCGTTACAAAGCCTCATCTTGCTATTTCTGGCACATTCCTTCCGTCAGTGCTTCAGTTTTCCTGATAACTGAAAGTGAATACAGTCCGAAGACAGGCCATCAATGAAAGATTCGCCCGAGAATCACTGGCTGCCATCATTCCCACACTGCTTCCTCTTTTTTCAAAGATAGGTCATCTTTCATTCGGTCAGAACTCTGTCCCCAGGTGATGTTGCTCCCTGGATACGGATACGAAATTCGTTGGGCGCGAAAACTTTTGCGTACGCTACGAGCACCTGTATACATATGTTTCCCGCACTACTTACTGTTTGCTGGCCCTGTTATCTGAAATCAGTTCAGTTTTTGACCGAATTTTTCTTGGAGCAAACTCGACTAAAAAGTCGTCCCTGAGTTAGTTTGATGTGCTGAATATGAGTATCATACCCGCATGATTCAGAAACTCCTGGCGCCCATGCCACATTCACCGACGCTAAAATACCCTTGGTCACCAAACTTGCTAGAAACTTATTTCCAGGGTGAGTTTGTCCGCTGAACATGAATATTATATCAGCAGTGAAAAAATACGGCAACGTACCCAACCCATAAGGAACGTTAAGCGCTATTCTGGAGCCAAATTGCGTCGGCGCTGAGAATAAGTGTCAAAATTGTGATTATGGCCATCGGTTACCCCTGCAGACAGCAGCAAATTTCCAGTCAAATTTTCTTACACTTTCGGGTTACGGTAGACCATATGTTCGGCAGTGGTGACTGGAGTCTCAGATCTTCGTGAAGACGATGACGTAACAATGACGTAGCGAGCAACCAAGCAGGTGTATCACCACTTCGGTGCGCCCAGGATTCCTTCATGGTTGAAATGTGAAAGTGTGGGTGGCCGCAACTCCCGTGAAAAAGCATCCTAAGCGTACGGATAAACGTAAGTAAACGGTAAGTAGTGCAGGAAACATATGTATACACTTTGTAACATTTCATATCGCATTCACCACGCCTTTGCAATTCTAAATGCAGTCATCAGCATCCCAAAATGGTAGTCTTTGATGAAGTGAATTTTTCCTGTTGGCGTTCCGTCGGTTGTGACACTTCAGTAATTTCCCTCAGCGTACGCGACGACACTGTCGGCAGTCGTAAGCCAGTCTGGCTAAGCTTACCGAACGGGGCATCAGATTTGTTATTTGAGTTATTTTCTCTTTCCCTCCACTTCCTTAATTACGTCATGCAGTCTATTCTTTCTTAAGCGCTACAAACATCAAAATCGATCCAACGTAAAGGTAGTAGCGGATGCGTAGCGGATGTTCCACTTCACAACAACGACTCACATAAAGTACCTATATGCCTCGTTCTGGAAAAACTCTGTCCAGGCGGAAAAAGCCTTCAAAGCAAAATTTCTGTGAACAACTTGGAAGAAAAAACTTCACAAAACCACCAGAATGTGCGCGACTTTAGTTTCCTCCAAGCTGTTCCTCTGCTACTGCGGAAGAATAATGAACGCTGGAAAATAGATGCCGAAGGTAAGCTTCGAAAGTTGCTTGATATCTTTATTGTGCGAAATTTGCCGTAATACACTATACTCCAGAAAACTCAAGACTATCGGGATGGTAGAACCCTTCGTGGGAACTTCTTTCATATTGATGCAAGCTTTTTTTGGTTCACGAGGACTCACCTTTCTTTTTACATCGATCAAGAAAACGGTAGTTCGCTTCGGTGCAAAGAATGAATTCAATTCTTCAAAATTTCAGAAACTTGACCACTATAGTAGCCCTGGAGCCATTGCAAAGTTCGCTGCTAAGAGAAGGTTCATATCTAGTACCTCATTAAACTACAAACAGGTTCATATCTAGTACCCCATTTAACTACAAACGTCACATTTAATGGAAACATAGTGCGGCAATATATGGTGTGCAGCTTGCCTTTAACATCAAATCTGGCACGGAACACTTCTCGTCAGAAACACTTCTCTGCAAACTCAGAAATCTTACCTGCTCCGTTTCCTTCACTTTAACATTGCTGTCCTTTACTAATGCCAAAAGTTCGTTGCAACGCTCATCGGCACGGCTTCGATCACGATCACGTTCCTCAACCTCAATCAAAGAATAATGAAAGGAGCCCTTTCCTGGATACACAAAAATTACCTCTCTAGTTCTTCGCTCTAAAGCATGTTGAAGTGACGTCAGTTTTGTATCAGCTCTATGGCGTTCCTCTTTTTCATTTTCGAGAGCGACACTGAAAGGAATTTCCAGTTTTGTGCAATCGCTGAGTCAGACGGGCGTCAAAGGAAGACGAGTCAAATTGAGTGAGCTCAACAGTGTAGAGGAACCAGTGCAAAAGTATCTATAAAAAAAGTCATAAAGTGAGTATTACTCACCGTACAATTTCCAATTCATGCTCAGCTTTTCTTAGTTGAACGCGCAACTTGGTAAGTTCACGAACATCAATTGCGGGTCCTGAGTTGGTTACAGGAGGAGTGACTTTTGCGGTCGTTGGAGTTCTTTCTCGCTCTGCATCTACTTGCTCAACGATGTCTTCTCCAAAATCTGACCATCCACCCGAACCACCTGATCCTGACAACACGAAAGGGATAACGTTCATTCATGTAGACACCAATGATGCTCTCACACGATGAAATTGAAGAGCGAAAAATATGAATGAATTGGCGGAACCTTTCTTACTGATGAGGCGAGGGTGGCGTAGTGGCAAGTTTACAACGCGCACGGTCCGGGGATCAAACCCTTGATTGGCTCCCGTCCAGGGTAACCTAGCCTTCCACCCTACAGGAATGATAAATTGGTACCAAATCTGTCTGGGAGGATAAAACACTGACTTGTACATCGGCTGGCCCCCGCAAGTCATTGTATAGGCCACATCGCATTCAATAAGCCACTACGATTCTGAATGGAAGTAGAATGCGTGCCGCATCCCACAAAGGAATTAAGGTGAAGACTTTATCTTTTTTATTCTTTACCTTCTTTTCTCATCCTTTCCGCTTCTTCAACCAAGGACGACAACATTGCATTTTCCAGTTCCATACGGCTTTTCTCCAATGCTAATTTTTTAATTTCTTCCTCAGCACACTAAATTTGAAAAAAACTAATTATGGCATGTCAACTGCAAATAGAGTGCCGTTAAGCAGGAGGTACTTTTACTTTTTTTTTACTTTTTTCCTTATTCAAAAATCGCGATTCTGTTACGGAGTAGCCCAGGATCTGGGAAAAAACGGATTCCCGTCAGCAGGGTACTGGCGAATAATAATTCGAATTCTAGAGACACACAAACTCGATTGTTATAGGATTGAATTGTCGGACTGATTTGGGCAGAGGCCCGAGAATGGGTTGTGCACCACACTATTAGGTGGACACAGTTGCAGAAGTTGTATTTCTGCGCAATCTCACCGTATCGAACAATGTTTATTCAAAACGACGCCGGTGCTCCTCATGTAACACGGCTCCGCTTTGGGCGCCTTTTAACACGGCTCCGTCAGATGCAACTTAACACATTGGCGACAAGGCGCCTTTTCGCGTGTCTGCCGCGTGGGACAAAGCAGTTTTTCCCTATTTTCGAAGAATGCGCATAAATGCTAGGGCGTTTATACGCCAAAAAAATTGAAGAATGGTCAGAATTCATTGCAGAAGCTAGTAAGGCTTCGCTATTCTTGTTTACTTTCAAGATAAACCCTGAAATTTCATGGAATACTCCCGCCTCATTCACGTGGAGCGTGGGAACAAGGTCGCAAAAAAGGAATATTTTCGCGCCAGAGGTGGTAAATTGGATTCGATTCAGATCTGCTATTGTTGAAAGTTACCTTATCACATTAGCTATCTGCATGTGGAGCTTCAGTTCTATATATCCAAGAATTATCTTTTTTCCTAGGAAATCACTTTCGTTTGTCTCCTCGGTAAAATACTCTCAATGACACAACTGCACGGTTTACAGCTACTGTATATTCTACAATGCCTTCATGGACAATATGCAGCTGTTGAAAATTCGAAACGTCTTCAAATTGGTTTTTTACCCATGCCGCATCCCAGCAGTGGGACGCAATGTCCCACGCGGCAAAAAAGTGCATCCCAGCAAAGAGACGCAATGTCGCCGCAGTGCTAACCTCGCGCACTTTTTCTACTGGATGACGCACCTGGGTCATACTCCACAGCATACGCACTCATTTGCACACTTGATCAATGTTTCATCTCATATTATTGCATTTATCACCGCTGGCTCCATCTGATGGCAGTGAGGAACGTTGAGAAACGGTCAGGAATCACCGCCGCGCTGGTCACCGCGCGCGGCGTACATCGATTTGAACTTCTTTTAGCACGATCCATTTCACTAACTACGACTTCTTTACGCATGATTCGTTTCACTAACTACGACTTAACCGTTTGACAGCTATTTGAGAAGGGGCTTTTTTATACTACGTATACATCTAGTGAATTTTTTCCGTTTCTACGCTCGAGAGTAAACTGTCCCATTTTCACATCAACAGGATAAATTTCGGAACCTGGAAAACGATCCAAGGAACGCAGCGTGACCATGGGACAAACAGCACGGTGAACATGTGCCAACACGTTTAGTCAAGTATTTCGCCGTTCTATCACGGCAGTGAATTGTGTCCGCTGATTGAGTACGCTGATGAGAAGAATGGTTGACAGTTACCGATCACTTCAACCTAATGAAAGACTTCGCTGCAAAGCTGAGCCTGTCCGGCAGATGTTAGACGTGTCGCAGACGCAAAGGCCATGCAACCGCAATCGGTATTCTGGAAGGAATTTAATTTCTACGACTATACCCACCCAATGGTGTGGTCCAAAACTCAAACGCAAAAACCGACAAATAAAACCGCTGATGACTGATTAGGCGTGGCCTTACAGAACTATGATTTCGGGTTGATTTTCTTTGCCTTGTCTTTTCTTTGTTCTTGCTCTAGATTGCCCTGGAACCGTTGCATGAGTTCTCGGATCTGTCTCGCACTCCTCAATCGGTGACCTATCATTGACAATCCATCTTTAATCCACTTTTTCCCCGATGTTGCAGTGCTCTGAAGCCGTCTTGCGAATTTTTAAATCAGGCTCCGCCCAGCTCGGTGCACGCTCCGCCCACAACGGTGAACTTCTCAACGTGGACCACTTGGGACCATCATCCACTTTTTCGCGCCGTCTGTAATGCTCTAGGACCTCAACTACGGTTTTTTTAAATGAATACCTTATAATACGTACGTTTGAGGTCACGCCCCTCCCACTGTGGGCGGGTCACAGCACACCGAATATATGAGACCGGACTCTCGCCAGATGTTTGTCTTCGCCGAGTTACCGACATTTGTGGGAAGCACCGCCCACCCCGAGTACGCCCCGCCCATTTCGGGTGTGTCTCCTCCATTTGATGGGTCAACCCTTTGCCAACCTTAATCCACTTTTCCCCATCTCGGGACTGCTCTGGAGCCGAATTATGAATTTTTTCAGTGAGACCGCTAACTTTCAACGCATGCCCCGCCCACTGTGGGCGGGTCACAGCACACCGCAGATATGACGGACTCTCGCCAGATGTTTGTCTTCGCCATGGACTTTTTGCAATCTCTAAACTCTCTCGGGGACCGAGTTACCGACATTTGTGGGAAGCACCGCCCATCTCGAGTACGCCCCGCCCATTTCGGGTGCTCTCCTCCATTTGATGGGTCAACCCCTTGCTAACCCTGTCCCACTTTTTCCCCATCTCGGAGCTGCTCTGTAGCTGAATTATGAATTTTTTCAGTGACACCGGAAGCACCGCCCATTTCTAGTACGCCCCGCCCATTTCGGTGTGTCTCCTCCATTTGATGGGTCAACCCTTTGCCAACCTTATCCACTTTTCCCCCATCTCGGGACTGCCTGGAGCCGAATTATGAATTTTTTCAGTGAGACCGCTAACTTTCAACGCATGCCCGCCCACTGTGGGCGGGGCTTACCATGGGTTACGGTTGCTCTTTACATCTTGTCACATGCCCTACCCATCCCGACCTTGACCCCTCCAAGTTGTTCTTCTGGTAGAACCGAATTTCCGGACAGACAAACAAACAAACAAACAAACAAACAAACAAACAGACGAAGCAAATTACATATAGTGGGTGATTATATATGGTGGGTGATAGATGAGACGAATGTTAGTAAACAGATTGTCGGAGGAAGTAAAAGTGCTAAGGATGAACGGTGAATGTGCAATCAAAAACCCGCGGTTCAGCTCGAAGGATAAAGAGTTCAGAAAAGAGTCGCTCCGCGCCACCTTCACTATACATCGGAGAACGTCCTCTTCATCAAGGCAGGAGTGCTGAGGTGGCACGAAAAACGCTTAACATACTCGTAATCGTAGATTCGAGATATATGAACCCACTCTACTCTATTAGTGAAGTAGACGTTGTCCCCACCATGCGTAGAGTGAGCTTTGGCCTTCCGATTTCACGAAGTGAGTCAGTGTTCTTTTAGCAGTTCGTTTAGTCATATTTATAGGTTGATGCATATGTTTTAACCCCGACTTTTTTGTAAATATCTCAAAAGCGAACCAGCCTGAAGATTAGAGGTATGCACCATCACCATCCACTACTCGACGCCAGCGCTCAGGCAGCTTGTCGATTCCATCCTTCCAGAACGACGGGGTTGGGACTGGAGAAGTTGTCGAGTGCCGACGGGGCTGGGACTTGAAGAAGTCGTCGAGTGCCTTTCTGACCTGATCCTTTGTTTCGAACTTTTTTCCGTCCAGAGAGCGCTGCAGGTGGCTGAACAGCCAGTAGTCAGAAGGAGCGAGGTCAGGGCTGTAGGGAGGGTGGGCGACCATCAGCCATCCGTACTTCTCCAGCTCGGCCTGGGTCGCCTTTGCAGTGTGAGGTCGGGCGTTGTCATGGTGGAAGTAGATTTCCGCATTCCTTCCACGAGTACGGTCGACGTGATCTTTCAATTTCCGCAGCTGGGTCACGTATGTGGAAGCGTCAATCGTCTGTCCCTTCTCCAGCAGCTCCCAGTACTCCATGCCTCTTCTGGACCACCAACAGGACCTTTTTGGGGTGAAGGTCGGCCTTTAGGGGCTGTTCTCCTTTGTCGACCCACTGCCGCTTCCTCACAGGGTTATCGTAGAGGACCCACTTCTCATCTCCAGTGATCATCGAGTTGAGAAAGTGAAGCTTCTTTGAATCGTGAAGCAAAACCAGGCAGTGGCGCATTCTGTCACAGTGGTAATTGTGCGACATTGTGGCCTGCAAATGCAAGGTGGGTGAGTGATAGCTAGTGTGATAAAAGAGTATAATGCACACGTCACGCACACGTGATGACGAAATACCAACATCCATGCAAACGAAATACGGAAGGATCAAACACGGGGTTAAAACATATGCATCAACCCGCAATAGTTCCTTGAAGCTTCACCTTCTCATTGCTCACTGACCCTTGCAAACGCTAATGGTGATGAGGGTCGATAGATTGATTAGATGAATTCCTCTCTCTGGAGTGCTATTGGACCGAGCCTGAAAACTTCCTATTCCCGCCCGCCACGGTGCACGCTCCACCCACTGCGAGTATCTCTCCTCCCTTTCATCCCTTTTCCTCACTAACTTTGCTCATTTTTTATGCTGTTTGGGATGTTCTGGCCCTGTTTCTTAAACTTTGAGTCTGGCCCGAGCCGCTCGGCGCACATTGCCCCACTGCGGGTGGGTCTCAATACGCAACAGATACGCCCTACTTTCATCGAATAATCCTCTTCATCAACGGTTGTTTGCTGTTTCTGAACTCTTTCAAGAGCGAGTTGTAGAATTTTACTGCAAGCACTGCCCATATCAAGTACGCTTCACCACTTCACGTACGTCTCACCCATTTCGTCCTTCAGCTCATTTCCCCCCCCCCCCTACCTCTGAGCTGCTTGGGAGCCAAATTTTTGATTTTGCGTGTGCTTCGCCCATTGTAAGCGGGGCATGGTACAGGTCATGTGAATTTTGTACATCTTGTTCCATGCCGTAATCAACGTAACCTTTATCCGACTTCTCCAAGTTCCCGCACAGATAGAATCGAAACTC